AAAACAAACTGAGTATAATTGAAGAATTTAGGGGAATATGCTCATATTAAATAATGATGTAGGCATATGCATTCTATCTTTGATTGGTACTTTTCCAGTAGTCACCAACACTACAATAATAACTATAGCGATAATAGTGATTAAATCGATGACAATAGTACCAATAAAATATTTTCTTTTTCGACAATAATTTGCTTGAGAATTCTGGGATTTTACTCCAAACAAACTCTAAACAGAGAAGGAAAATCATAAATAAAAACTGGTATGGCATAGTCTACGATTGTGACGTACGTGTACCATCATTCGTAAATCATCAGCTCTCCTTTCCAGACTATTTAATATTATATCATCTCCTGTTTGATCGTGATTATTGATATTTGTTTCATCGTCCTTAAAGCTTATGTATTCAGATCTAGACTTAATGACCTATTATGATCGAGAAAAAGAGTCAGAAACAAATCGTTGCTAGAATTTTTTTTCCACTATTGTATATGTAGTTTGTAAGCTAAACTATTCTCTATCCAATGGAGTATACACTGCTATTAACGGCTGGGTAATGTTCAAGAAAATTAAATATTAATTTTAGTAAAAATCATCAGTTTTTGTGGGTTGAGCTGGATGAGTTTTTCATGAAAGCATTTCTAAAGTGAAATATTGTGGACTTAAAAATTACAAGAGATGGTTATCTGGCGAAGGCGCTCTTAACTCTCTACATTTTTGTTCCAATTATGACAGCATAAAAATGCTTTCCTGTTGATAAATTGTCTTAATGCTCCATTGAGATACTAGTCGAAAGTTTAAAAGCAGATATGTTTTGCCAGAAAAGTCGTACATTTACTATCAATTTTATTTCAAAAATATTTCGGATAATAAAGCAGAATGGTGTGTTGCGACCGAGAGAATGCAGCGACCAGTACCGGTACTATATACCGGTGCCAGTGCAAGTCATGTCCATCCAATGAAATAGTGACCTCAGCTATTGTTCAGAATAGCTTCTGAACTATAATCGACAGAAGACTGCGATTTTTGCCATTTAAACGAGGAGATTTGACCACATCTTTTCTTAAGAGAAAAATTTTAAAAATATTTTTTGCAGAGAATCTACGAAAAACCACTTTGAATCTTCAGAGATACGAATAGCAACATATTTTTTTTAACATGCGTAGATAATCCCAAGTGTCGTCTATTGTCATTTGGCAGTGATATCCACAAACACAGTTGGACCATATGTTATCAATCCCGGTGAGTGTCATAACAATGTTTGTTTTTATTAAGAATATTAAAAATCCAGTAAAACCCTACTTTTGTTGAAATAACCCGAAGTAGGCTATTTTCTTGCAAAAATGCAAAATTTGTACCGCGCTTAACACCGGTTCAAGCCACCAGAAGTTCAAAATATACTCTGTCTTAGCCTCTTAATACATCGGTAAACCTAGAGAATATCGGAATTTCATTAAAAAGTTTTTCGTTTTAAAAGGAATTTCGTTAAAAGTTTTAATAAAATTTTTGTGCCATCAAAAATTTTCTGGTACTTTCATTAAAAACGCTCTAATGAAAGTTTTTTTAACGAATGTCACCCAATCCAAACGTAGGAGTAGGATGCATTCAAAAAAAACAATGGTTCAGATATTCTGACGGGATATTTTTGTAGAGCTCCGAAGAATATGCAGATTCGCTGCGCACGTTAGCTTATATAATCGTGCAAAGCACCGAAAATAGAGTATATTTTTTGTCTTTTTAATCAGCCATTAGGTTCCGGCTTAGCTTTTTCTTTTTATTCATAATTCAAGCAATATCCATGTTCATCAATTTATTATTTCGAACTGTTGTTTGTCGAAGCGAATGTAGTTGTTCCTTTTTACGCTACTAGTTAAAAAGTAAATAGTGAGACAAGAATTGAAAAGAAATGGACAGAAAGAGAGAAACAATATTTTTGTGTCACTCAGTTCTGTCTTTTTGAATAATGTATGTAATCTTTTTGTATGACACAACAAACGAAAAAAACCTTAAATTGAATGGAATACATATATTTTCACTTTTGTACATACCTATACGAGTAAATTACGCTGTCATTGTACAATCGTTATACAATATGTAAAATTCTTATACCTTTTGTATTACTAAATGAATCTAGCTAAAGTTTTTGTACGGCACTCATGGCGACTTTAGTCACTACCATTAAAAAATAAGCTCAAAAGGCCTAGCGGTTACTGACGAGGAAACGTTCTCAGAGGACACGCTCCGTTTCCATTTATTCATATCGCAATGGATACAGCGTATCAAAGTCGTAAAAGCCTAAAAGGATTTTTCCCGATGGTTCTTGAAGATCCGGTTTTCTGGAAAACCAGTAGAGAATCTAAAAAACCACCACAACTTTGCTTAATAAGACTTGATTGTAGTCAGCAAATTTCTGATTGAAATGAGGCATCTCCCAGCTCTATAGGACCTTTCTTTGCAAAGTTATAGAATTTACACGAAAAGCCCTAAGTTTTCGTCTTATTTCTGTAGCGTTGAGCATTGAGGGCATTTCTTGTAAATTCTAGAACTTTGCAAAGAAAGATCATATAGAGCTGGGAGACGTCTCATTTTAATCAGAAATTTGTGGGCTACAATCATAATTTATTAAGAAAAGTTTTGATTGTTTTTTAAAGTTTCTACTGTTTTTCCAGAAAACCGGATCTTCAAAAGGCATAGGGAAGTATCCTTGTAGAATTTTACTACCTCAATATGCTCTGTAGATTGAAATATGAATGAATGAATGAAAATGTAGCATGTCACCTGGGTTCTTCGTGAAATATGCGCGTTTTTCTAATAAAAAACCTTTTTTGACAACACAAAGCGACAATAAAACCATTTTTTATAATTGAAAGAAAACTTATCTCACCTTGCTTCTGGAGAGGGAATTGTAGTAAAGACTTTATTCTTTCAGAATATATACGCGACTTTATAATGTACTGACAATTTCTAGGGAAGTAGACGTCAATAATGGCGTTTTTTTTGTAAGGCGAGATCGAATGGATAATAACTTAGTCAATTGTAGACTAAAATTTTATCCAAAAATCTCAAAAGATAATCGATCGGTAGGGCTACATTTCGATAAACAGACAGATTTTATTCATTAGTATTTTTGGCATAAAAAAGGTGAAAGTGCTCTTGCCATGGGTAGATATGTTTCTGTTAAAAGTACGCGAGATTTTGGAAATTATATTTGTTATACTATCCAAGTTATTCAACCTTAATCCTTTATTTTTTTATCCCATTTTTATCTTGTTCCCTTGTGTATATGATAAAACTTTTAGCTTAGAGGGTCTGACTGTAGAAGACAAAATTTCGTTTTACTGGGCGAGATTTTTTTAGAAAAAGATTGAAGAATACCAAGACGATCAACATGGTGAACGTTCAACCTTATAAAAGCGATGAACTTTGCAAAGCATTCCTGAGAAACAAAAAATGTCACTACCATTTGCTACTGAAGATACTAGTAAAGATGATCATAAGTCGTTATTGTATAAAACGTATCGTTATTGCCTTCTTACACGTAAAGTTGATGGCACTAAAACGTGGTATTATACTGAGTAAGTTGTCTGCCTAGTATTGTTCCTCTTCTGTTGTTGAAAATGAAATAATCCATGTTAAGTACCAATATTTGCGTGGATGTATAGATTTTCAAGAGTATTTTAATCTTGCTAGAAACCCATGTTATAGGATCTTGTACAGTTGGTCAGATGGTCTTTTAAATAACGAAGTTTCGGATACGGAAGCTTGAATATGTATTTTGTTTATATTTTTACCATCACAAAATCACTACGTCTTCGCATCTATTGCATTGGCTATTTGTTCTCCTTCGAGAGTGTACTGTTTGAAAATATTCTCCTTTAAGAATAAGTTTATAAATTGTTCTCATGCGAGAGTGCACCAGCTGAATATGTTCTCCTTTGAGATTGTAAAATATTATTTTCCTTCAAGAATGCACAGTTTCAAATTGTTCGCAATCGAGATGGCGTCATCTGGACTAACATTTGTTCCGTTCCTAGCCAGGCCAACTGTTACACGTTATTAACCTATTCATTTATTGCTTTTCGCTTAAATTAACTACAGTAACTCCAACACTGAGATAATGGATTTCTCTGCTTCAGTGCCGGACGTGACATGTTCTTCTTTGTTATACTGATGAATAAATAAAGCTTAAATAAAAAAAGTCAACTGTTACACGTGTTACTTACATTGATATATAATTAAAATCTGTAACTTTTATTTTATCAGACACTTGTGAACGTATTGTTGCATATTCCTGGTTAGATGTTGGTTTCATACGTAATTCAATTGGACACCTTGTACAACAATTTGTGCGCACGCCGTAGTTGAACAAGAAAGACCTTCCAAAACAGATGATTTATCTTGTGAATAAATAGAGACATGGAAATTGCAACTCAAAATTCATTAGATCGCAGCATATTAGTGTCCGTCAATACAATGCGTGAGATATTACATGAAGAAAAAATATCTGTCTCAGATTGTGGTAGTTGGAGATCAGTCTGCTGTAAGTATACTTCTAATGAATTTTGATGTGCAATTCCAATATCTTTATTATACACAAGGTAAATCATCTGTTTTGAAAGCTCTTTCAGGTGTTCAATTACCGCGTGCACAAAATATTTGTACAGGTGTCCACTTGAATTACGCATGAAATCAACATCTGGCCAAGGATATGCAACAATACGTTCAAAAGCGCCTGATGAACTGAAAATCACAGATTTTAATGATATATCAAAGGATGTGTTATCACCGGTATGATTCATCAAGCTATTAATATTTGCTCTTCATATCGGTTAGTTTATAATGAATTAAATTAAATTAGAGATATAGTAATAAAAAAATAGTTATCCGTTCTCTTTTGTTGATAACTTAATTGGTATGAAGTTAGGCAAATGGTATAATAATTCTAATACAAATAGGAAAAGCGATGTCAATGAGAAAAGAGAATTTTTATCGAGATTCTATTCATTGAAAATAACAGAAGAATGTTGAAAAATGATTTACGAAAATTTACTAATCAAATTCGACCTGACTTACGGCTGATGATTATTGAGAAATTACCATTTTCCAGTCAGAATTCATTTAATTTTAAGAATACATATTAACTGGACACGGACCAAAGCTGTTCCGAAAACAGCCTTTTGTGATTTAGTGTAGGTATCCACGAGATACTCATCTATCTATCGTAGCCGTTTTCGATCTCTTCCGTTTAGGAGTGGCTATGATTTCCCTTTTTTTTCACCGAAAAAGTATTGCTATTCTGTTTAGCTAGCATTGTAATCGAGATACCGGAATCGGAATCGAAATCGAAGTCCAATCATCAGCGATTTCACTCCTATCTACCGATTAGAGAATTCTTTTGGCATGCTTATCCATGGATGGGACACACCATTGTAGATCTAGAATCTATGCTTCTTATTTAAAAGCTATGGGTCATCTTTCTTTAGTACATCGTCTTTATGTACGTTTCTTGTTCTTCAGTGTTTTTTTAAGTCAAATAATGCATGTGATTTAAAAAGAAAGATAGTCCATAGTGGGAGTTTTCCCATTTTACGTCACTATACGTAACAACACGAGAGAACAATATAAAAGAGAAATATAGTGTCTCTTAATTTATGTATCATTTAAGACTTCACATCTTTCATTTTTTCTTCCTTATATTAAAATAGTTACAATAGTGTACAATGGTAGGTAAATATATTCAGTTTAAATTAACAAATGATTCAATACATGGAATCAATGTTGATTGTTTATTTAAATATCCGGATAGTTATTTAACTAAATTGGTTGCGGAAGGTGGTATATCAGTCGATGGCCATCGTCAAAATTTACTGATAATAGATGAAGAGCCTTCAATATTTGAATCAATATTAACATATTATCGTTATGATAAATGGTTATTACTACCAAAACAGTTTGAATCGCTTGAGAAATTAATTATTGAAAAATATAAATTGCCAAGTGATTTGTATAAAAGGAAACTCTCCGTTGTAGTTCAAGTCCCATTTTATGTGATCGTCCAAGGTATTGATGCTGTGGGTGGCAGTAGTAGTCGACCTAGAAAAACAATCACAGAACCAGAGCCATTTCATATACCAGAATTAAGAAATTGTCCGTATTTTAAATATTATAATAGACGGATGGAAAATATTAGTTACTCATCCTACATCGAAATTGTTAATTATTTATGTTCGAATGGTTATACAATTGAAAAATGGGACGATGAAAAACATGTTGTTAAAATGAAAAAATTAGAAAAAATTGACGATGAAGAATGAACAAATATACAGAAAAAAAAACAATTTTCTGCTAGTATCTGTTTGAAAGAATTCAATAAAAATCTAACAATAAATAGATTTTGATCTCAAATGGATCTGAAACTTTGCATAATTTTGTCAGAATTTTGGTACAACTTCCTGTGTAAATATGTTTCGTTAATAAGCTTAGACGTCACATTAAGCTTTTATGAGCAATCAGAAATAACCGCTTGTGTTTGTTCAACAGGACAGAGTAGACACATAATCCACGTTTGCAGCAAAAAATCCAGATATTTTTGCATTGAAATTAGAATGGACTCTACGGTGAGATATTAGAATTAAAGCTAAATTGTTAATACGTTCAGACGATCTTTATCAGGTGAAACATATGTGACACAGTGTAACATCAAACAACGTTAATTTAGCATTATCTGTGCTATTCAAAAGACTTGAAAACTTTTTTAGGGCCTTCTTAGGGCATATCTTAGCCAATTAAATTATTTTATATTTAAAGCCTTGAAAGCACGTGTATGTCTGGGATATACCAAGAAAAGAAGGAGTGAAGTGACGGAAAAGGATTCTCCGAGCTAAACAATGGTGTAAGGTACTAATGAGTGCGTCTGTGACCACAGCTAGCACGAAGATCTCACTGATAATAAAATTCCGCCTTGGTACCACAAAAAGGACACGATATTCAATCACTTTTAATGGACCGTGCTACTAAAGAGTGCACACATTCTAAAGGTAACTGTTCAGCTAAATGAATTGAGCGTTTTACTGGTTAATAGAGAAACTAATCCTTAATTAGGCAAAACGATCCTTTCGTATATGAAAGTGCTGATATAGAATTCATAATACTTATATGTCAAAAAATTACAGATTCTTACTCCTACCAGATAATTCCACGACTATATTTTTTAATAAAGCATCCATCTCAAAACTCTGTCGCATATATTACGAAAATGAGTATGTCAGACTCTACAGTGGATTTGGGCGAGACAATTTGCTAGTGTTCACACAATTCACTTACCCTTCAATATCGCAAACACAATACAAGCAGATAAAGGGTGGCCCAGAAGTCCTGACTCGATTTGAATGGTTAATTTTTCTTTAGTAAAATACATGATTAAAAATGTGTCTCTAGTGTGAAAAGATGCAGCACAACACGCTCTACAAAATGGCTCTTGATTGATCATTCTACCTCACATAGTAAGAAAGTTTCAAGCCGAAACATGCTCCACAGAAAATAAAAATAAACCGTGATCTGGATCTCGGTATTTTGCTCTAAGTTCTGTTATTTAGATTTATCAGAGCAAGTGCCTGTTTTAAATCGAAGCGCTGAAAAATGCTCTTCAAAATCATATTTAAACTTTACTTCCAGAACTCCGATTAAGAAAACCGTAGCAAATTATACGCGAGGCAAAAACTAAGAACTTCATGAATTTAATCGTCTTTTACTTGAAATTTTTCTTTTCTTAATATTTCTGTTCGACAGCGTATGAAAGTGAGTACTCATTGGTATTCGGTACTTTTAAATTTACTCTTTCTTGTGGTCTCTAAAATATCTGCTTTATAGAAGATGGTGCGCTTGAGGTTCAAGTTTCAAGAATACGTCGAGAATTGACACTCTGGTTTTCGGCAATGTACTCAGCAAAAAAAGAAAAGGTGATCGATGTTTTGACGTTGCAGCTAGTTAGAGGAGTGCAATCATTTCTGATCAACATAAAACAAATCTGATTGGCAAACCTTCTGTTTTGATGCAGCTACAAGACTTTTATAGGAAGAACCATCATAAAAATCGGGTTCACGGTTAATTTTTATTTTTCGTGGAGCAAGTTTCTAAGCTTGTAACTTTCTCACTATATGAGGTAGAATGGTCAATCAAGAGCCATTTTGTAGAGCGTGTTCTGCTGCATCTTTTCACACTAGAGACACATTTTTAATCATGTATTTTACTAAAGAAAAATTAACCATTCAAATCGAGTCAGGACTTCTGGGCGACCTTTATATACCGCTCTTTTCTGTTGACTTCTTTTCTACTCTGACTCTAATCTTTTTTGTACTATATTGAAAGTCCTTAATTTCCCTTATAGTGAACAACAATTTATTTTCTTGTGTGAGTGACGATGTATGAAGTACAAAGATATTTATAGTTAATCTCGGGATAGAGGAGAAAATAGTGAGTTAGAATGACAGAGCTGAGACGAGAACATGTTAGATTAGATTCGTAAGAAGAGATATGCCTATCAAAACGAAAATGTGATTAAATGCAGTACCCCCCCATAATAGAAGACCATCTGGTTTTCTACTTTGTCCCGCAAGTCGAGTTCTAAAGGGTGGTCTTCTATTTCGGTCAAATTTTGTCGCCTGCTAGTAGTCCAACGGTAACCTCACGTACTTGAAGTCCGTCCCCTATTAGAAGTACGTTTCGGAAAAACTTTTTTGAGAATTCCCCTATAGGTATATTGAAATATTGGTATATGAATTACTTGATAAATTTTTCGAAGATAATATCTCGAGAAACATCGTCGTCCTTTCATAAAATCTTGCTAAACATACGCAATTCGTCTTTCATATAGAAGCCGTAACTGATAGTGCTTTTATTATTATTATTATTGTTACTTTAGTAATCCAAGATTATTGATAAAATAATACTTTTTTAAAAACTTACATTTAGTATTTCATTAGCAACATGTTCAAGGAATAGCTCATTTATTTTCTAGTGAATAAGTGATTCTGAAGAACTTTAAAGTACAATTTTTCTCCCTTTCTTAAACTTTATTTTATTATTATCTGCATTGAAATAGGAAATAGATGAATGGTCTGGCGTCCCTAATGAAAATCTTAGAGTTTTCTCGTCAAGATTCTACTTTTTCTCTGTTAAAATACACAAGATGACGCTAGAAATTCGATACGATCCTATCGAAACTTGATAGGGAATTGTGACCAAAACTTTTCAAGTTTATTAGGATTTCTGTAGAATCTTATCTCAGGATCTTGCCAGGATCCTATTATAATCCTAGCAAAACTTTAAAATTTTTGTTCACAATTCCCTATCAAGTTTCGATAGGATCCTATGTAAAATCTTATAACTATACCTATATATATATATATATATATATATATATCCAGTGGGCGTCACGGAAGGGCAGACACAGAGTGGAGAATAAGAAAAGCGAGTTATGAATATGAACTGCAAAAACAATGCATGCAGTTCAATATTGGTGATTTTTCTGCAACATAAATCTGGAAAAATCTTTGCAGTAACTTTGCAGATTCTGCAAAGGGATTCTGCAGATTTGAAGCAGATCTGCATTGCAGATGTGCCAAGATTTGACCAAAGATCTGAT